AGGAGCTGTGACTGCTGGCTCTAGGCTGGCAGGCTTGGAGCTGGCACAAGCACTGTGGCCAGAGTCAACCCCTTTAAGGGCTCTGGGGAGGGGCGAGAGAGAGGAGTGTTCTTGCTTGAGGCTGCAGTGGCCATAAGGTCACCCTGGGAAGGCTGGAGGCCCCCTATTTCGATTTAAGTGTCTACACAGCACTTATTTCAAAATAGCTATTTCGAATTTGGCGTTAATCCTTGTGGAATGAGGTTTACCAAATTCGAAGTAAGTGCTCCGCTATTTCGAATTAATTTCATAATAGCGGTTTGGCTGTGTCGACACTCATAAAGTTATTTCAAAATAACAGCTGTATTTGTAATAACAAATACCCTTTGACTCCAGCTACGTAATTAACGTAGCTGGTGTTGAGTATCTTAATTTGAACTTATACCTTAGTGTAGACCTACCCTCATGAGAGACAGTAGCAAGGTCGACAGAAGAATTATTCTGTTAACCTAGCACTGTCTACACTGGTGGTTAGTCTGGCATAGGTCTTCTCATTTAAATAATGCAGAATATGCCAATTATTTTTCTTTGAATTGGCTGCCTACTCATTTCAGATTTTCCATCCCGATAGCTCAGTGAGGCATAGGTTCTGCAGAAAAAACACAATGTGATAATGTATTTAAAGACTTACTGTCACTCCCTGATTTACACTGCCCATCAAAACTTAATATTGTCCTTAAAAATTTGCAAAAATATTCACAAAATGTTGATGGGTGCACAGTAGTTTCTATTCACAACTGTATACATTTTGTTTGAAAATCTGGTAGTGCAGCAAATTCTTTGGTCTCCATGCACAACAGATTTTTCTCCCATGTGTTAGAGCTGGTGCCAGTGTATAAATAGTGTTTGTCAAGACACAACTTTATTTAACTGTGTTTAACTGTATGTTTTTATTAACAGGTGTGTATGTAATATAGACTGCAGTGGGTACAGTTTTAATCCTGTATGTGCTTCTGATGGAAGTTCTTACAACAATCCATGTTTTGTTCGAGAAGCATCGTGTTTGAGGCAAGAACAGATTGACATAAGACACCTTGGACACTGCTCAGGTAGTTCTCATTTTAATTTTTATTAGAACTGTATCTGGTGGCAGTTAGGGCCCAATTATACCCTTTAGTTCTTTTTAATTTTTGTAATTTCCCTGTGTTGTATGTAGATTATGTCTCTATCATTATGATCTAAGTTGAGAAAAAATGTGTGTATTTAAAAAATATATCTGAGCAGTAGTCTAAATGTACATGAAATCAGTCACAGCAGAAACACCTTAAAAAAGCTCCATCCCTTTAAAATACACCCAAGTCCCCTGCTCACAACAGCCTGAATGACTAGATAGGGCTTTCCAGCATGCCTAACTTGGCAACACACTTGGGCCCAGACCCTGCAAATACTTATCTACGTGCTTTTTAGGCACAGGAGTGCTGACATATAAAAATCATGAGCACCAGTGGTTACAAGGTTTAGGGCCTTCCCTCCGTACCTGAGGGTGTCCTGCCACCAGTTCCCTGACATTTACATCTAGATTCAGTAAACTT